GTCTGTTTACACGTATCTATGCTACCAGACAAACACCATCACTGTAGCTTAAGTTTTCAGTATGTCCAAACAGCTTTAAAACATTTAGTTTGAGAACATCGGTTCTTTCAGTCCAATTAAGCCCACAGAAAGCAGACAAACAAAATAGTGACAACTCTCAGCAGCCCAAGACTGAAAACAAGCAGCAAGCCATGGGCTGAGCATCCTGAGCAGCTGAGACCCTGCAGCCTCCCTGCTCCCAGTGCTCCACAGACACACGTCACTGCTCCCTTGGCAACTTCCATCAGCAGCATCACTGGACCAGACTTGGGCAATTTCATGGAGCTTAAGCAAGCCTGGCTGATACAAAGGATGCTGCCAAAGCCTGTTGTACCTCTAGACCAGTACAGGGAAACACAGCGCCAGCATTCATTGGGTCCAAAGGAGCTCAGAAGCAAACGATGATTTTCACAGTGCTGTAGCTGGTCTGGCTATTTATAAGCAAATAAGAGTGACAGATCCTGTGTCCCGTGGCTTACAATTTCATAAAATACACGTGGGACCATGAGGAGAATAGATGTAAGTTGTCACACCAAAAGGCTGTGTGAAATTTCAATTAGCAGCAAATCTTCATTAAAAAATCCAAACAACCAAAACTAACAGGGAATGTAACTCCACCTTCCTATGAATAGAAGGGTAACTGGTAATTTTAACTATGTGCTCACATAATTTAGGGGTTTTTGCTTGTTTGCCTCTAACACAATCCCCCCCTTCATTCACTCTCCAGGCAGGAGGCATAGTGAGTTAGAATTTTAATTCTTCTGGCCATTTATATACATGTGACATTTGTTGACCTTTAAGTATTTGATTTTGAAACCTATTTAACTTTTTGACGTAGGTGTTTTCGTGGGTTTTGTTGTGGAATGCCAAAAATTTTCTGCATGTAGGGGAAAAAAAATGAGTAAGAGCAGCTGTATGAGTGTTCCTCTGTACCCAAAGGGCCCTCCCTCTGTGTCTGTAACACCAGTTAAAGTTTCTTAGTAGCACAAGCTTCTTATTCAGCTTTGTTTTGACAAAGAAAGATAAACCACTGTTTTGCTTTGCCCTTCCCCCACCATTTACTCATTAGTTTCATTCAGTTTGCTATTCCCTGCTCCTTGTAGGGGAAAAAACCCATATTTTTAAAAAATTACTATTTTAAAGCACATTAAGTTGTTGACTATGTATGTTCTTGTGAAGAATTGAAAATAGAATATAATTATAAATCACTGCTAAAATGAGCTTGTCCTGCAAAGGCAAGGACATTTAATTGTGTCCTTGTATGACTGGAATCACTGTAAACAACTAATATTCCTATTTGCAGGGACAGAAATAACGAGCTCATTCAGCTGTACAGAAAGGAAGACATAAAAGGAAACCAAGGGCTAAACCAGAATAAGCCACTGGAAAGTTTTATGTCAACAAAACTGGATTTAAATTAAGTAACATCAATTCAATATTTTGACTGTAAATGAATCAGAACATTAAAACATGTTTTTTAAAGGGAACATTTGTGATGAAATGTCTATGACTAGTTCCTACACCAAAGGAATAGGAAAGTTCCTACTTATTTCTTCTGTGCAGGATCAAAGCCCAACAGCAAAGTTACTTCTCTGGCTTCAGTACTGCTTCACAGACCTAAATTTTGAAAATAAGAACAGCAGCAGAACTGTGAGGAAAACACTGAATAAATGACTTATCAGTTACACACAAAGGAAAACACAGCCCTGATGACATAATTAAGAAGTTCCTTCATGCTACATATGTGTGAAGGAATAAAATTTAAATTACACAACCAACTTCCATTCTTACATTTTCTCATTTTCTGAGTGCTTGACTTTGCAACTTAAATCTCTTTTTATGATTGTTGTTTCTGACACTGATTTGCAGAAATGTGATTAGATTTTAATGTTTGTTATTTTGTCTTATTCAGTGGCAAAGTTTAAAACACCCCACAGAACAAAAACAAAACCCCCAAGCTCAACCCAAAGATGTGAATTTCTAAGCTGTTTGAAATGATGGGAGATGAGTCAATAGTCACCTTGCTTTAAAATCAAGAGAAACACAGCAGAGCAATTCTCCAGTGAGAGGAAATAAGGAAATAAACTACACATTCAGCAACTGTGAGACACTCTTTCCAAATAGGAACAGAGAGTTCATTTACCCAGTTATTTTACAATGGTGATAACAAATTAAAATTGTGGGCAGACAGCAAAGAACCAAATAGACACACAACCCATAGCAAGGATCAGCCAAATCAAAGGGAACTTTTTACACTGTCAAATTCTGAGTAATTAGTACTTCCATTAGAGGCACAGTTCCAGCTTTAAGCAATTCTAAGTAATTAATGTTCCTTTATTTTGCCTAGAAATCCTGACTTCAGCATTCTCTTAGGACACTCATTCTGCTAAACAGAGCTCCACAATACAGATTAACTCAACTAGAAGACGATTAGCATAGGCAGATGGAGATGTAATTTGTCATTCTGCACACACTGTTACTTCTAGCCTTGGATGCAATTTTTTCTTAACACAGCAGACTGATTCAAACAGAGGCAGAGACGTGATTTGGTTCTATCTGTACCCACAGGATTGCCTAAGCTACAAGTGAGGCAGAGATTTGAAAATTCTACATGACCAAATGACAAAACACAGTGAATAAAGTGCCAGATTGTATCTTCCCATACAGCTTCAACCAGCTACAGGAATTCAGTAAATACATGTCTCCCAAAAACGTGTGTCCTTTTGCACTTCATGGCTGTTCTGAAGGTGCCTTGTTTGCCAACCAGTGAAAGATTCCTTAAGAAAAGGCGAAAAGTAAAAAAGTGAAATGCAATTAAAGTATCCTTTCCTATTTCCACTATGGCATCAAGTATAAGACAACTCTTAGATTTTTTCATATTGAGCTTGGAAACACAAGACACGTGCAACACCACCAAGCAGAAGTTTGACAAACCTTTTACCAAACTTCAAGACCCCCCTGTCCTTGGAACAGCACCTACAGCAAGAGGAATGAGGCAGAAAGCTCATGCTTTGCTTTCTCTGCCAAACACAACCACAGCAACAATTACCTTCATTTGTAGCTTCTGAATTTTCCATACTGCAAGAAGCAGAGGCCAAACATCATGTACTTCACCCAGCAATAGATAGGAGTGAAGGGAGAGTTGAAACAGCAGTTGAGGAAGAGGAGATCAGAGCAGGACTTTACTCCCAGAGGTTTATTACTGTGCTGGTGAGAGGCTCTAACTGTTCTTTTCCAAATACTGCTGTTCACATGGACTCCAGATTGGCAGGTCTTGTGTGTTTTTAATATTAACTGATATAAAAAGAAACATGACATTCTTGATCTACAAAGTGTCTCTTCTCACAGATTTGTCAGAATTTGCACATGGTCAGAATCAAGGTCCAAGAAAGGCAAATTCTGACAAAGCTGTCAAAATCATATAAGGTTCACACTTTTTTTGCCCAGATCTTACCTTTATCACCTTTTTCTCACAAGTCTATTCCAAAGTGCATTTGCAATGTGCTTGTGCTTTTAAGTTGCAAAGTACGTTAAGTGCACAATGAGGACCCACAGTTTTGAGTGACAGAGAAATCAAAAGTGGCAATGCTCAGAGAGAACAAAAATTCTTCTCTGACATACAAAGTGCAATGAAAAACTCACAAAAGGACACTTTGAAAACTTCATCCATGAGAAATTCCTATTTTTCCTAGCAGAAAGAAAAAAGTACCAGCTTCTGCTTGGAGTGACAGCAGCTTTTCCCAGCTGCATATTCTCACATGCAAAATACTTGATCCAGTGATCTTTATGAGTTCACCAAATGTCAGGATCGCTTCTTTTTACTGCAGATACTTTTTACCAGCTTTCACACTGGAAGAGCAGTGCTGTGAAGCTTTGGGCCTCAGAAAGGCTTTGGCTCTGCCTCCTCTGCAGCCCTCACCCAACTGCTGCCCTGTGGTACTGCCACAGCACCTGAGCTGCCAAGGAACCATCAGCAGCTCACTGGAGAACCTGGACACTGCTGCTCAATTCTGCCCAACTCCAAGTTGTGCCAAACTCCACCCCAGTTAATGTGCTAGAGCAGGGCATGCTGGTCTCTAGTATTTTTGGACTGCAAACATCGTCTTCAAGAAGTCAGAAAGCATAAGTTATTTGTTATTAGTAATATATTTCGTACTTTTAAAGATTTGTATTAATCCATGGCTGTGAAGGCTGTCAAATCCACTCAAATGCTTCTTATTGAAAAATCAGGCCTGAATATCTGTAGATCCTCCCCTCCTTCACCCATCCAAATTAAAGCTGTAATTCCCAAAGACAGCCACTCTTCTAAAACACTACACATTTCATATAGTTGTTATTAGTAAAGTATGAACAATGTTTGCAGAAACATTAAAGAATCAGGTCAAGAACTCTGTCTGAATACCAGTGTTATTAAATAAGCCAATCATCCAACTTCTGAGTAATTAATGTCCTTGGTTTTCACTTGGAAGCCTCATTTTCAGCATGTTCATAGGAGACAAATGTCCTACACCAAAATGAACGAAGAGGAATTAACTCTTTTGGATGCCAATTACCAGAGAAAGATGAAAATGTAACACTGTCAGGCCAGATACAGCACAGCACTTCTGGTTGTAGGGTAAGTTTAGGTACAATCCGATGATTTCACCACATATGAGCAGGGATTTGATCTGTTCCCATCTGTGCATTATCTAAATACCTAAACAATCGCCCTAATGCATTTGAAAACTTTAAAATATAAAAGGAAAACTAACAAAGCTGATGGTATCTCCAGAGCACCATGTGAAGTACTAATAAGCAACTGTGTTATACAATCCATGTTCAACAGACTGAAAATGATCTTTCCCAAATCCAAGTGACATCCTTCTGAAGCTGAAAGTGATAGATTACAGCTGGCTGAGCACGCACTGTACTGTACACTCATTTTAAAAGCTGCCATTGTAAAAGACCCTCCAGGCTTTTTGTTGGTTCCTTTGCTCTTCTTATTAAGAACTGTAAAGTTCCTCTTATTTAACAGTAATTACAGGGGCAGATGGAGAAAAACTAATGAGAGGGAGAGAGGTTTATTTGTTAAAGACGTGCAGTAAGATCAATAGGAAGTCTATGGACCATATATGTTATTTTTATTTCATCGCCTCAAAACATGATAAATATTTGCAATTGCAAAAAATTATGAGTACAAAACTTAGGATTACTTTTAGAAAATGACGTCTTTACAACTCACTTATAGCCTCTGTATATGACATCCTCTCCTCCTCTCCACCAGACAAGCATTAAGACACAAAAATACTCTCAGGACAGCAGTTGCAGAACTTGTCGTACGCGTTCACACTTCTCCAGCACGTTTGGGGCTTCTCCATCAGAACCATCAAATTCCTTCATAAAAGCTTCAGCTTTCTCCACAGTTTTGTCTCTTGCCCCGCCCTGAAGGCCTTGCAGATAATCCAGTAAAATGGTGAAATACTTGTCTGGAACCTTTAAAGAAAAACAAACAAACAAAAAAACAAGGAAGGAAAAATCTGATTTATTTTCTTCCCTCTCGATACTCATTCGCAATCATGTCACAGCATCACCTGAAAGACAATCAGGAGACAGGCACAGGTTTTGGTGTTTGCCAATGCCCAACTCCAAGTAGAAATGTTTGAAAGGTACAGGCTGCCAGGAGGGATGGACCGTGGTGAGATGACTGTCGTGTGCTCGGATGGGCAGAGCATCTGAGAGGAAATGCTAAGCAGATGTGGAAATGCTGAGCAGCAAATGTAAACACTCCCTGACAGGGAGCTCAAGGCTGTGAGGGTTGGTGCAAGAAAAAAACAAAACACACCAGCCAAATCCTCCCTTTGGAAAACATGTATGTGAATCTTGCTAAATTTGGTGAGAATTGCATGAATGTGCCTCAGGAAAGAATTTTGCCAGAATTACCCTCATCCCTACCCAAAAATTATTTGTTTGCTGACTTGATATACCACCCACCATCATGCACTTTGACAGAATGCTTATACAAAGGAATAGAACTTAATTTGAAAAACAAATTGAAATTCAGACATATGGAAATAATTTCGAAATCACGCTGACTAAAACTGATAGGCTGAACCAACATGACCAACATTAAAAGCACTTTAGTCATTTACAGTTGTGTTATCCCCCTTTCCCTCCCTTTCTAATTAACCAGTCATAGATTAAATTTTAGCTTATCTGGTAGAACATACAGTTTAAATGATCATTACCTTAATCTTGGCAATAACTTAGCAAAGACTTTGGAATTATTTATTCAGTATTTCAAACCAAAATAATAGGTGAACAGACTTATCTTGAAGCATATCTTGACTTCATGTTGTGTATCTGTGGAACAGGTTTCAGCCAATAACAGAATATCTTTTGCTGTGAATCAGGGGATGTTAAAATTACCTCATCCTGCAAATATTTTTCTCCATGTTTAACTTTACACATATAACTTGACATGAGTCAAGTCAAACACATACGTAAGTATTTAAAGGATTGGAGACTAATTATTCGAGGGCGGTTTCAATTCTGCAAAGTATCAACATTTCAGAGAAGACAGAGCTTCAACAGACACTTAATTTACAACCTGTTTCTCCATCGACATTTGGCAGCAGAACTTTGATCACTAAAACTTCTATCACTCCAAAAGAAGAGGAAGAAAGAATATTCCAACACTGCCTTCATCAATCAGGCATATTACAAAGCAATAAATCAAAACCGAAGTCTGCATTCAGCCTCATAACTTGTACACTATGGAAAACCTTCTAATTCTTCACACAAACACTCTTGCATTAAAGAAACAACATAGTTACAAAAAATATTAATTTTACAGTGACTAACACTGAAATGGATGATATATGAAGTGTTGTTATAATACACAAATCAAACATGTTTAAACATAATGAAAAATGTCTAAATTTTTGAAAGTTTTTACTCACACTAAGCTGGTACTAATAACAGACAAACCATTCAGATGCAAATAATTTCAGTGTGACAGTGCTCTTTTAATGCAGATACTCAGTACTGAGCTTTTAAAGCTCAGCAACATTTCCATGTTTAAAACCTTGGCTAAATTATCTCTGTAATTTACAACTCTTGGTCTCAGCCCTCATGGCATAGACATACCCGTGGAACTACAGTTATTATTATATCATTTAAGCAAAATGCTTGAAGGGGCAATTGAAAACCTACTCTAAACTTAGAAATACGAACTGCACAGGCTGACATGTGGCTGATTATTTTTCTTTAACACAGCTCTGAGGTTTATTTCAGCAGGAGCTCACAATGCAGCACCCTGTAGGCAAGGTAAGTCATGTTTCCTCCTGACTTATACACCAGAGCCATAGCAAGGACTGGAACACACAAAGTGCCAGCAAAAACTTAACGAAATCCAAATTTTAATTCAGTATTAATACAGTATTACAAAAGCAGCAATTTCAGGGGTCTTGGCGAGGTTTTCCAAGAAGGAACACAATCCTTCTTCTAAGATCTAAGTTTTAGGCTCGTTTGAAATTGGAGATCAAGATCTCCCACCACGGCCCTGGAAGTGGAAGTGATGCTTATGGGATTTTATTATTATTCTTTTGTTAAACCATTTTGACCCTTTCCTCCTTTCTTTTTCTCTCTCACACACTAATCCTGCCTCTGTTCTAACTGGAGCTGATTAAAACGGAAATATCCCGACGTGAAATAATTCCTGTCATCGGGAAAAGGAGGGAAACACTACAAAAGAGCAGCAGGAAAAGAACAGTTATCACTTTACAATTAAACCATGCAACTCACAAGTTTTCAGACTCAGAGACTTGCAGATCCCCACGTATTTTGCAAAGCAAACACAGATCCCAGCCCAGAGGACCTCAGCTCACTGCCACCACGCTGCCTTTTGGGTTACCTTCCAAGGAAGCTTCAGCTCCAGGCCTTGCAGCCCCAGAGCTGAATACAGCTGATCTATAACTTCCAAAAAATGCTGTGCCAGATGACAAATATCAACAAATGACCCAGTGTTTGTTTTATGCTGGATCCTGGAGAAGTATACACACCATAGGTACACAGGCTCGGCTTGGGAGCTGTCAGCCAACCACCAGATGGATTTTAAAGGGACTTAAAAAAAACCTTCATGTAGCAAACAACTCGAAAATCTCAAATTAATTCTTACAGCAAGAGGCATAGCAGTGCAGGAAACTTAACTCAGTGCTTTGCATGGCATCCAAGTGACACCATGAGATCAAAGACGTGGCTTAGGAAGGAAAGAAACTTATGTCTTATGTCTCTTTTTGTACTTTAGTCATGCTTGGATTACCAGCAGATTTTATTCTGCAATGGACAGGAAGTTGAATTTGGATATAAAAAATATTCAAAAGAAGCTGGGTGTGCCCTCCCTATGGTCCTGAAGGAAGAGACTTCATCATATGCTTAATTATAAGCACTTGAACAGTTCTACTAACTTAACTGAATCTGGATGCAGATGTTCATCATTCTCTAAAGCTCATATTCAGTCTTCTCTGATAATTAAACCACAAAATATGTGAATTTAAATAAATCTCAGCACTTTCAGCAGATTTAAAAGCAAAAGGAAGTTTCATTTCAGTGTTGAGAAATAAGGGGTTAAGCTGTGTTTTGATACATAAAACAAACGCTACTTTAGGTTCATTATGTCCCAGTGTAATTCAACACAAACCCCAAGGTAAACAGGTAAAAAAGGAAAAACATTGTTCTGCCTGCCAAACAATTTCTAGGTAGCTTTGAAGAGCATATGTTGATTTTGGAAGGTTGATAAAGGTTTTTAAAGGGGAAACTTAAAAACTGAAGACAGAGCAAACAACCTTGAGACCACCATCAAATTTGTATTCTGCAACTCATCTTTTTTAATGTATTTACACCCTGTGAACATTTTTGCCTTCATGAAACTCTTCTTTTAATTATCTGGGTCTCTAAAAGTATTTTTAACCAGAAAGGTAACACCCTGTGTCAGGTGATTGGCTTAAGAGCCACTGAGTAATTCGGGTCAGGAAGACTGGTATGAATAAATGTTCAAGTGCACACAAAACCATCAGCAAAACCTAACTGAGTGGCAATGAAATGAATCAATAAATAAGGCACTGTGCAAATAGGCAGATGTTTGTTCTATTACACAACAAAATAAATGACCTGAAACTCCCACTCGATACCACAATGGTCAGGCTTATTGGAAATTCAATTTATGTTGTTTTTTCAGTTATGAAATGAATGGATTTCAGTATGGATGCAATCCTGGCTTCTGGTTATACTTTATGTTTTGCACAATCAACATCAGGTTTCACTTATATTTTAATGAGGAAGCTATTTTAACATCTTGGCAATAAGACTGTACATCTTCTATGGAGCCAGAGATATCTGAAGCAATATGAGAATCATGGTCTACAGTATTGGGTTCCACATTAGGAAATTCAAACTAAGGATATGAGTCAAATTCTCAGCAAACTCTAGGTTTAAATAAAACATGAATCTGCCCTATTTATGCTTGACATACATCAAATATAAAAATCTAGCATACACAGGAGAATGATCACCAACAAAGTAAAAATATCAATGACAAGCAATTAAAATGACTCAGCATCTTGGTTAAAAACGAAGTAATTTATAAATTATTAAAAAATTATTACACAAGTGCATGGCTAGTTCTAGCAAGTTTTGGTTAATAAAGAATAGCTATAACTAATGTATAACACTATATCATATTTGTTCTCAAGAAAAGCAGCATTAATACAAACCTTCTCTTTATCATACATGTGCAGGAGAAGCCACGTTTGTCTTGCCTTTTGAAACTTCCATTCTCCTGGGTTTTCAGACCAGCTGCAGAAAATTAGAAAAAGAAAAAAATTTGCTTGAATGAAATATTGTGATAGCAAAACATTCTTTATTCAGAAAATATTCCCTACAATGCTTCCAAGTGACTTGGTATGCACTGCGTGGAGTTTTGTGGCACAGATACTGGCACACATTTTGTACAAGGCCACCTGGCTTCTGTGCAAATAGTGAAAGGTTTAGGAAGATATCATAGCCAAGAATGTTATAAGTTTTCCTCAGAAAGTACTCATTCCTTGATGTTAAATACCAAGCCCCATTCCCCAGCTTTGGCCAGTCCTTTATGAGAGGTCACTGCCCTCATTTGACCCACAACAACAACTGAGCACCCCAAATCCTTATCCCAGTTGCAGGGCTACCTGATTGTTTGGGGAGGTGGAGTGGACAAGGAATCAAATTTTGGTTTCAGAAAGTTGATATTTCACAGTGAACTGTAATTTATAAAAAATTAAGCAGCCTCTGAAGGACTGGAAGGAGAAACTTGTGCTACAATGGTCACCTCAGCAATGGCTGGAGCCCATCACAGATGGATGTTTCAGAGCAGACAATCCATTCTTGAGGAGCATATATTTAAGGCTTGGGTTTGCCTAAAGGTGTGACTTCAATATTTATGTTTACAGGAGAGAAAAATGGTTTCTCTCACAAGGAATACTTCAATACTGTTCAAAGCAAGGGGGCAAAACAAATGGCTAACATCTGCAAACGTTCTTTGGCTGTTTAGCAAACACATTTTAAATATGCAAAATTTTAGCTGGGCTAAAATAGCACATTTACATACATCTTGAACATATTTCTCAAGCTGGTATATTCTGTTTTAGAAGAAGAAAGAGACATTTATTTCTATAAACAAATGAGCAAACCAGCAAATCCCACCATAAAATGAAGACTTCTTTTAAAATTACATGCTTGAAAATTAGCATCTTAACATGTACAAAATCTGACAGCACACTAAAATAGAATTTAAAATGAAAGAATAAAAAAATACAAGAAGAAACCCAGAAACTTTCACACTTAATTGATTTTTTCTCTAAAGAAAAATAAGTCTCCAGAGGGTAGCATGCAAGATGCCATTAATGTTCCAGTTTGTTTTACACAGCAATAGAGAGCACAGAAATCAATTGAAAAGCCAGCTGGGTATGAGAATTAGTATTGTTTAAACACTGTGAAGTCTAATAAAGCAAAAGAGTCCTCATCTTTGCTGAATGCTGCACCAGCTAGTACATTGTTCAGTCAATTCAATGAAAGAGAAAAAAATGAGACCACAAATTTGCACAGAAAGGTTCCATGGAAGCCTCTGAAGAAAACTTAAAGTAAAAAAAATACTGTCTTGATGTTCAAATTCAGGATAAAGAAAAAGCAGCAACAGTTCATTAGGGTTATCACCAACTAAGCTTAATACAATAGTCTGTAGTCAACAAATAAGGTAAAAATCAGACAAATAACAGTAAACCAAGACAGACAAATAATTACAATATATCATCTTTTACATGGTCAAATAAAATCTAAAAATGAGCTGATTTAGAGGTATCTTTTGGAACACTGTCGATAAACAGGCAGAAGTTTCCAAAACAAATATTGCACAAAAGCAGGAGACCAAAAAGCTGACTGACAAAACTTACAGAATGGAAAAGAAATTATTATTATTATAGGGAAACCATCCTTCTCCCATCACCACCAGCCTAGAAACCAAAGATCATTCAACCCTTGGTGTCACTTTGCCTTCACAGCAAGGTGCCCAACTGGACAAAAACCACTGTCAAAATGACACCACCTGTAATGTGAGGGGCCACAGAGGATGAAGTAAAAAGGGCTTTTCTTGCAGGTGCAATTTGTGGGGCAAACAACAACCTGCCCATTTGTTCCCACTTTCTCTGTTTGCCAGGCAAACGCAGCAGCTCCTGACTGAGAAACTGGGACTTCTGCAGGAAGTGACTGAACCTCTAGAAGTCCTTCAAAACAAAAAAACCCCAAAGACAATGACAGTGCTCGCTGTTCTTTTAAACTTTTCCGTTATGAGGTTCATCCTCAAGAAGAAGAAGGTAAGTTTAGAATTCTTTTTTTATGTTAATTAAGCCTGGAAACACTTTACATGATAGTCTTTGCAAGGTGACAAGAACAAGCTGAATGACAGATCCGTGACTGCATCCTGTGAAAACAGTCCCTCTTCCAATGAAAACCTTTAACACATGTTTGTATTTCTCCACAGTATTCTGTGTATTTAGACATTTGCAATATCCCTTGGTTAGACACACCACAGAGTACTCTGAATCTTTTATTCTCTGCTAATTTTATGTTTCTATCACTTACACTATCACCTGAGTAGTGTTGGCATTTAAAGTTCAAAAACACAGCCTGATTTCACTAATCTCCCATAAAGCTATAGGATGTTAAAATATTTTTATTACCTAGTTTATAAACAACTGAGACCAGCAAATGAGTGCACTATAAGGTTAATTGCTCTTATTAACCTATTACCAAAACCATATGCTCTCTTCTACATGTTAAGGCAAGTTGTTGTACTCTTGCATCCCAGATCCCATATGGACTTTCAATCCAGTGAATTCTCTTGTAGAAACAAACAAAAGTTTTAGTTTGTCTTCCTGAAAGGTTCTGCTCTATATACACCACAGTAATTCATATAAACAACAAATACTTTAACATAATCAACTGCAGAAAGTACATTTGTGCCCATTACAGCATTGGAATCTCAGAATTTCTTTTGCTTTGTGCTCTGTCCTGTTAGAATCAAATCCTAAATTAGCACAGTAAGAAAAAATAGTATTTTCCTTAATAGACAATGGCTATACTTGTATTTTCAGAAAATATTCCCAAGTTTCTAACTGGTACTATATCCATGGTTGTATCAACTCCTGTTTCTCCCCATTTAAGAAAATGATCCTTCTCTTGACCTGAATTCCTATCAAACTGTGGTCAAAACACTCTGGATAATGGATGCACAATCTTTAATGCAGATAACATGACAGTTGCTCTCTGTAACTGGATTCCCCAACAGTTATTAAAATAAAACTTTTCCACTGATTCCTATGACAGCTTTTTCCTACTCCACTGACAGCTTTAAAGCCTATGGAAAGTATCACTCCATGACAAAGTGAGAGGGGTATCTCCTTTTATCAGGATGACATCATCAGTACATTTTTAGAAATGCTCAACTTTTAAACCACAGAAATTCAACCTTTGCAACACAAGAGAGGTCTCATTTTGCTGTTTACATGCAGATAATCTTCCTTGACATAGTACAGCAGGAGAAAAGGCTTTTCCTTTGAGTGATTAAATATACAGAGTAAGACCAACTACGTTACAGTTAAAAAGCCTCTTTTTATAGACAATCACAACCTCTTCCACTGTTTGAATTAATTTGGTAGCCTCTACATTATCTATGTCAGGATCTAATATAAACTATGGAATTGAATGAAAAATATACATGTGTAAAAAATGTATTTTTCCAGTGTGCCTTAGGCTAGTTTTCAATATATTGTACAAACACTAATTGCCTTCTTTACACATTTAATGTTTGAATCTTTCTTATGAGCTCCAGCTCATCGAAAAAAACATATTGGTTGACTTTAGCTAAAGAGAACTTAAATGTTTGTGCAAATGATCTTCCCAAGTGGCTTTGAAATTGAAGAGACAGAGGAAGTGAATCAAATAAATCAAGCAGCTTAGGAAATTTTACATTTGGGCTTTCATTTTTTTACCATGAGTCTCCTGTGGAAAAGCTGCCCAAGATTCTCACTAGTCTATCTCATAAATGACTTGTAGTGCCTGTAGTCATCTCACACAAATCTATTCCCAAAACATGGGAATTCAGGCAGCATAAGTAGGCAAACAGAAGACAATTGGTAGCGTGCAGGGCAGGACACCCTCTGGGGTGCCTTGGTAGAAAGAGATGGGGAAGGGAAAGTAGTCAAATTGGTTCCAGAAACACAGTAAGAGAAAAACATTGTTGTTACAAATTGGATTCAGGAAGTCAACACAATGCATCTGCTCAGACTACCAGCCAGGACAAAACACTACAAAGCTGTCACAACTGGTAAATAATCACAGTGTGCAGAAAAGCTCTGTGCTGAGAACCAACCATTTGACTAATTCAACTTGAAAAAAAAATTATGGCATAGGAGGCAAGTCTCAAGAAACCAGGAAGACAGACAGAGATGTGACTGCTGATAACCTTCCAGAAGACATGAGAGTACTGCTGTGTGCCAAAGGCAAGGACACCTAGACCAACCTACATGCACTGCTCCAACTGTGTGCCACTGTCCAGTCCAGCTTGGATACACCTTCCTACCTGGATATCTATCCAAGGAAAAGCAGACTGCCACCAAATTTAGATCTCTCCAGCATATAGCCCAGGCTTAGTATCAGGGAATTAATTGGAAAGGTTTCTCCAGCCCTGAGGACCAGCTCAGAGTGCAGCCTCCCCTGTGATTTAACCATGAGGACCCTCATGTCTGACTCTCTCGAGTTTCCCTCCAAGGAGGGACAGAGCCACGGGTCTGGCCCACTGCACCACATTCATGGAGAAGATCTATTGAAAACATTAAAAGCAGCATTCTATGACACTACACAAAAATTGTCACATTCCTCCCACCTCATTTATCTGGGTAGTTTTCTGTTTGGATACACCAGTTATTCATCACCCTGCAATCTGTCTTTAAGGATCACCTGTGTTCTTCTACATGGCCCCCAAGGAAGGCTGAACAGGAGTTATGGCACATGACTAAGGCTTGCAGGAATCAAGTTAGGCACTTTATTGCCCAAACTCTCTGCGAACAGCATCCTATCAGTAAAATGTGGATCACAGGTGTTTCCTCAATAAAGAACCACCATCCTTTAAAAAATCCCCTTAAAGGTATTTAAAGCCTTGCTGAAACACTTGGCACCCAGGTGATCTGCTGTAATATTTCATGGTGCAATACATACAAGAGCAGCCACTTTAAAACCCCATGCACTGGTGTTTAAGGCAACTC